AAATGACTGTCAGAAAGAAAAAAAAAGAAAATCATTCCATTAATTACTAAACTTCTTTATTAACTAGCAAGCAGCATATTAACATCTAACTCGGTAGGGATGTCAAGACGGGTATAAATCCAAAAGGGATGTTTAATAAAACTTGGAAACCAGGAAAATACCAATTCTATTTATGTAAAAACATCAGTATAATAGTATGTGAGAAAGACCTCAACAGGAAGCCTCCCTCCCATTTCCCTTTCTAGTCATATATATAAAAACTTATTTTTACAATGCTTAAAACATAGGAAAATTTTTAATAGCTAAACAGTATTGTTGTTTGATCTAACCTCTATTACCAAAGAATGTGTAAATATTCTTTCAGAACATGAAATCCTAATCTCCTTAAGAGTGCTAAGTACCATGGTTCATACCAGATTCATTTTTTTTTTTAAATGTGAATTGGTTACTAAGTTTATTCCTTCAGCAGTTTATATTATAACGGGCTTCAAACTGTTGAACTAGTGCCACAAACTTTTCATGACACGTTTGGCCGTGCTAATGATTACTTAAGAAAAAAAAAAGTTTTTCCCTAAAATAGTTGTACATTCACATATATTTTAAATCAAGGTTTAAACACACACACACATCTGGTCATGCACATAAGTACACACATACTCTTAAGAGTTTACTTAAGAATAACTAAGTTAAATTAACTGATTAACCCACTTTTATTAACCACAAATTCATATAGTCCAGCATACCCAAAGTCTACAAGCACCTTCCACAGGGTCTAGAGAGGACTCAACTACTATACTCAACAAACTATTTTAAGAGTTAAAAATAAACAGACAGGAGAGCAAGACAGGGAGAGCAAGACAGAGCAAGAAAGTGAAGAACAACAACAAGGGGAGAGTTCACAAAGCTAGTAAGACCAAAAAAAAATTTTTTTTTAACTTTTCTACATCTGTCTCCTGCATGGAAACACAACTTTCCTTACATCTGTGCTTTGTTAACAAACAAAATAAAATTATACCATGACAAAGTTAGCTGTTCCAAAAGAAAAGGGTTCTCAAGCTCTACATTTGGTATTTATGTGATGGTAACTACTACCCAGAAGACCTGATCCCAAAAATCTCTGAAAGAGATCTGGGGGGAAACCCAGAGAGGGATTTTCCACAGCCCTGCTGCTGAATGAGTACTTATTAACCAAGTAGGCTCTTTGGGGAAGCAGAAGAGCATTGAGGGGGAAGGGAAAAAAAAAAGAACTAAGACAGCTCATGAGTAACAAACAATTCTTTTCCAAAATTGGCCAGAAGAATTAGCACTACTATCTCAGTCTTAGTTTCCTCTCCCTCTCAGGCACCCTGTTACCAACAGACTAAAATAAACAAGCATTTTCATATATCCTTCAATGGCAAATTTTACTCATGCAAATTTTCTTCATTAAATATTGACAACATACTAGTCAGCAGAGAGTCACATTTTTCTACCATAAAAAAACACTTTGGCACAGTAGCCAACTTCTCACCTGAGGCATGAGTGGAAAAGTCAAAAAGTCTGAAGTTCGTAAAGGCTTGTCTAGTCAACAGACCTACACAACTGCATTCCTCATTGAACTTTTCCACTCTACTGAGGGCAAGCTAGTGCGAGGCCTGTTAAGGCAAGTAAGTAAACACAAGGACTTCTCAAATCACACCATACTGAAACACCCTTAAGCCTATTTAATTTTGCCCTATGTAGCACATACTTCTCTATAACAGAAATCAAGCAAAGGGCAATTATAAACTTAACATGTACAAGATGCCCCAAGTACATGATCTATCTCACAACACCCCTTTAGAATATATACAACTACCATGACTCAACCCATTTCGGAACCTGAGGTTCTGCATGGTTAAGTGAGATGCTGAAAATCACACAGTGAAATAGTTAATGAGCTAAAATTCAAACCCAGGTCAGTGGAACTCCAAAGTCCACGTTTCATGCATGCCACTGCACATCAAAGTCAGCAGCAGTCCAGAGACCTGAATTGTACAGACACTTCTCCAGCATTTTATTATAACTTGGAATCAGTTACTTCTTTAATACTTAATTTCTACAACTGAAAAATGGAGTTAATCACTAAGCTGTTTATATAGTATTACCATGAGATTACTTACTGTGATTACTATTTAGATTTTACATAATTAAAATAAAGTGTTTTATTTTCTCTTTCTATCCTGTTTTTCCCTAAATAAAAACAAAAAAGACCACAGGACAGCAGTAGCATTGATAAGAAGCCAACTTCGCTATTCTGGTATCTTTTAAATAGAAGCTTTCCTGTCTCCAAAGTATAATCACTTCTTTTAGTTCCTAGAGTCATCCCCAAAGCAGTCTTTAGTATAAAGAGGCAACACATTAAATACTAAGAAAGAGCCTCCTGTGTATTACAGGAAGTATCAAAAATAATCCCTAACTTTTATTTGCAGTTCTGATTACCACACGATCATGATTTGTTTCCTGAAGAAACTACTCAATACCCTCGTAACAGGTGTCTCACATTCATCTGGCATTGCACAAGAAGTCTTATAGGAACAAGGGTGGCTCAGCAGGAGTAGCAATGTATGTAGGCTGTTTACTGATGACCCTGATCATATCTATTTAACAGGATGATCGTAAGCACCAGTTTGCCCAGTACAGTTTCAGTTTATGTAATTATTAACAGCATTCTGATAACCCTCAAAAGTGTTTCTGGGTACATAACAAACCATATTGTCATCAAACTATAAAAAATGATAAATCAATTTCTTCTCTATTATAAATCAAGACAGTGACCAAGGACAGCATAATAGGTGTGAACGCAGGTAGTATAAAAACGATGTAAAACGAAGTAAATTGTTCATACGAAATGATGAAACTAAGCCAGGCATAGTGGCTCATGCCAGTAATTCCAGTGCTTTGAGAGGCTGAGGCAGGAGGGTAGCTTGAGTTCAGGAGTTTGAAACCAGCCTGGGCAATATAGTGAGACCTCGTCTCTACAAAAAAATAATTTAAAAATATTAGCCAAATGTGGGGGTGTGTGCCTGTAGTCTCAGCTACTCAAGAGGCTGAGAGGATCGTTTAAGCCTGGGAGGCGGAGACTGAAGTATGCTTACACCACTGCACTCCACCCTGGGTAATGGAGCAAAACCCTATTTCAAAAAAAAAAAAAAAAAGGAAGTGCTGAAAATATAACATACAAAAGGAAATAACAGCTAATGGTAAATTCAAGTCTTCTCACAAGCCAAACACTATTGCTAATTTTAGTCATTTTCAGCCTTAATAATACAACTTAAAAATATACACAGAATCAAAATGATTAATTTTTTTAACCAACAGATCATAGGAAAGTGAAATCTTTAAGAAAGAGTGAGAACAATGCCTGCTCCTGGCCTCTCCCAGCGACTACTCCCTGCATTCTGCTCAGGTTCTGCGCGAAGTCTGCTCTCTCTAATGTTGCAAGAACAACCAGCAACCTAGGGACAGATACCCTGTAGTAAGCTGAATAGTGCCCCCTCTCCAAATTCATTTCTACTCAAACCCAAAATGTGACCTTATTTGGAAACAGAGTCTTTGCAGATGTAATTAGTTGAGCTGAGGTCACACTGGATTAGTGTGGGTCCTCAATCCAATGACTGATGTCCTTGTAGGAAGAAGATACAAAGATACAGACAGGGAAGAAGGCCATGTGACAATGGATGCAGAGACTGAAGTGATGCAGATACAAGCCAAGGAATGCCAAAGACTGCCAGGAGTCAGGAGCTAGGAAGAGGCAAGGAAGGATCCTTCCCAAGAGGTAGCATGACCTTGCCAACACTTCAGATTTTAGACTTTCAGCCTCCAGATCTCTTAGGACAATAAATTTGTGTTAAGCCAAGTTTGCAGAAGTAATTTGTTATAGCAGTCATAGGAAACTAATTCACATCATATGTGAAATTATCCATTATCATCTCTCAAGACTTTTACCACTTACATAATCAAGAGGGTATAAATCATGGTCCACAGAGGAAAATGTAGCCCAAATAAGAGGCATTCTGCTTCCCATTCAGCAATCCTTCATTGAGCCCATGACTGCAAGAAGTATTTACTCTAAAGCTGAGCACCTCTTTCTCCATAAGGGAGAGGGGCAGTAACTAAGTTATACCTCATCCTTCTTCTCCTGAATGCGTCGTCTCTCTGCCTCAATAGCCAGCTTCTCCTGAATTTCCTGAGCAATTTCACAGTCTTGTTGTTCACTAAAAAGCAAAGATGAAAACATGAATAAGGAAAATAAAAAATAATGTATTTCCTAAAAATAATAAATACAATTTATTGAATACTCAATTTATGAGAAGTACGTATTTTTCTCACTTTATCTTCAAGATAAAGATGCAAAGAGGCTGACACTGTCACATTTACTGATGAGAAAACTAAGGCCCAGGAAAGTTAAATCATTTTCCCAAGATCACAATGAAAATATGTGGTAGAGCTGGAATCTAATCATCACACCCAACAACAGAAAGCTCCATGCTTCTTCTATACCACCATATCATTTCACCCCACTGAGGCCTGTTTTCTGTTCCTGCCTCTACCACTAATAACCACAAATCATTCTGTCATGCCATTTTATAAGTTATAAAAAAGTTTACACTTAGTGACTTCACATTATAGGTCTAATATCATAGTATTCTTACCTACTCAAACTGAAGAAATAAAAAGAAACATAAATCTACTCAGAGCAATTCTTATATATTTTCTTTTCATTCACTCATTATAATAAGAATCATACACAAAACATGGTCTTAGTTTTCAAAGGCCTCTCTATATTTCTGTCTTCATTCAAGACTCTAGCTGAACCTCCCAAATTAATGTAAAATCTGTATAGAGTTAAGTGATTGATATATAGAGTTAAGTGATTGATAACTACACTCAATGTAATAAGTGGGAAGAAAGCAGAAGCACCACGGAGAAGGCAAACTTAAATGAAGTGTTAAAAGTCACAAGTGACATAGAAGATGTATCTCCTGGTACAGAAAATAAAGAAGTGAAGTTTCATCTGAGCTTAATGATTTCAAAACATATTTCCAAGAAGTTCCAGCTCTGGTTTGGTCAGCTAATTATACAGACTCCTGGGAAAACGAAACTGAGAAATCAGTAGTAAACAGGCGAAAATCCTGACTTGGGATAGCAGTCCTGGTATCCAGACTGAATAAAAGGTTCCAGTTCAATAAAAACTGCAGCATTTCACCCTTCCCAAGATGTCCAGCTATCAAAATTGCCAGGGAGTGAACTGAAAGACTTCCCTTTTAGCTTACTTATTTAATCTAGGAACAACTCCAAACCCTTGAAGTATCAGGCAGAAATACAATACCTGCTCCTTCTCTCATTTAGGACCTACAAAATATCACTCTCTATTCTTGATTTATATTTGAGTGGTTTATCTTGATAATTTCTGAATAAGCTCATTATATTGTTATTAACCTATTTCAGGATTTTAAATATCTGCATCAACCTCAGAACTGGGCTTTCTAACACAGAATTGTGAATAATTCTAACAAATGTAAAGGGCAATGAATTTAGAACTCTAGAACATTCTAGCTTTGGCTCTCACCTTAACCTGTGACACTGAGCCTCATAACATCTCAAGTATCTCTCTTCCTCTTTATTTCTCCATTATCATTACCTTCAATTTAGGCCTCATCATCTCCTTCCTCTATCTCTATCACCCCAATGTCTTCATTCAAGCCTCATCATCTCTTAATTTGATCACTGTTCAACAGGCCTTCAAATCTTGCCCCCTCTAAGCCTTTACCCATCTATTCCCCAGAAGAGATTCCAAAATGAAAATCTAAAACTACTCCAATGGTTCTCTATTCCCTATAAAATATACAAAACTTGAATTCTTTAACATAACTTACCATGACCCTTTTGGTCCAGATTTTGACTACTTTTCTGGCCTCAATTCCTACTTCTGTCCCAATTATACTCTCTACTCCAGCAATAATGAACTTCTTGAAGCTAACATGAGTTTCCAAGTCCTTTTACCTCCTGCCCTTATGCATGCTGCGCCTTCTGGCTACAATGGTTTTCCCCAAATCACTATAAACTTCCAATTAACCTTCAAGTTTCAGATTAAACGTATCATTTGTCTCCTGAAGCTTTTCCCAGTCTAATCTCTCTAAACAGGCATGAAACTTACATTTCAATTCTCTGTGACTCATGCATATATCTCCAGATATATAATGCTCAAGGTGTTTTCCTGAGGCCCTCAAAAGTTGTCCTATTCCTATGTCTGGTCTCCTTTCATGGTGCCAAATTTAACATGAATCAATAAAAGTGTTGATTTACAAAATAAGGAAGCTTAACAAAATGATGAATAAAGTCCTCTCTACAAATAAGAAACAGAAAGACAAACCCTTCCTGTAAGTTAGCAAAAATGACTGGCTTTCCTTTTTCACCTGAATATGACACTAAAGTAAATTAAGGGGTTCCTTCCATTTTTCCTTTACCTCTTCCCCCTCAACACAGTATCTGGGGTTAAATCTATCCTTAAAGATTTAGGATGTAAGAGCCACTCTCAATCAAAGAAGAAATGTATCCTAGGAGCTTTATAACACTGAAACAGAATAGAAGTCACTGTGTCAAAAGAAGGCTGAGAAATAATAATTTCCATTTATCTGTCAGTTAAAGGAGGCTAATGAGAGAGAACTTTTGTCAGACACTGAAGTTATGAAGATAACTAAGTATACACTTCAGAGCATCTCAGGATATTCGGCTATGTACTGAAAAGCAGGGAAAATAAGAGCAGCAAACACAGCTAGAACATAGTAAAGGAACCAACACAACCCATAAAGCTTTTTGATGTCCATTATCTCACTGGATCCCCCTAAGAAACTATGAGGCAAAGGGGACAGAGGTTATTTTCCCCATGTTATGGGTAAGGAAAATAAACTCAGAGAAGTTGACTAATTGGCCCAAGGTCATACAGCTAAAAATGTCAGAACTCACACCATCATCCACATCTCTTTAAACCTGGTCAAGTGTTCCAACAACAAAGAAAAATCTTCAAATCAAAAAAATGTTGGCTATCCACTGTAAGACTTGCAATCTAATAGGAAAAAGAATCAGGGGTACAGAAGTAGTCTCCTTCTCCCCTGCACTGGTTGCTAGCTCCACAGAGAAAGCCAGTCTTGACATTAACCCTCCCCCTCCCACATCCTCACAGATCTTTGTAGTGCTTCTGGAGCTGAGCCTGGGCTTTCAGATCTTCCTCTTGGAGCTGCTTAGCCACCTGAAGGTCATGCTGGACCAAACGGTTCCGCTGAACGTTTGATGCCAAATGATGCTCAACTGGAACAAAAAGATTGAGGACAGGAATTACAATGCCTTGGTTTGTTAGTAAAAATGTCATAATAATCTTAAGAGCTTTACTGTAACACAATAGCTTTGCATGCATCACTTCATTTTATTGTCTCAACAACAATGTATAATAATAGAGAGCAAAAGAATTATTACCCCACTTTTCCGTTAGGCAAAAGGAGGATCAAAAAGATTAAATAGTCTTTGGTCACATGGCAACAAAGTGGCAGTGCCAGGATGTCTACACAAATATTGTAGAGCCAGGGCTAGTGCTCTTTCTACTACTACATATTGTCACTCTATTTATTAACTGCATTTTTCAATATTTTAATTTTTATATTGACAGGTGAATTAATAACTCACAAATCATATATTCACAAATATGTACTTTCATATAACATGCACAGCTTAGATTTACTTTCCATCACTACAGTGAAAAAAAGATTCAGAAAAATCCACAATGTGATCTAATTTATACTATGGTTGCCTGAGAAAGCCGTTCAGGTCCCCATCCTAGGAGCAAGAACAGATTTATTCTATGCACTTCAGTTAAGTCTATAACCACTGTGTCCCTCGTATAACACAAGGCAAGGAAAAAGGTTCACACCCCTCTTTCTCTTTTGAAGATGCAGCAGTCTACTAATGCCTGGCAGTCTATCTTACTTAAACATACCCAAAAATTCACTGATCACCCAGGCATCATTTGCCTAAAGAAATCCTTCATGATTTACGGAGGACGTCGACAAGTGACTGTGCTCTCTCCCTACCTAACCCCTGAGAAACCAGCCTCAAGCTTCCAGTTTAAAAAAAAGAAAAAGAAAAGAAAAGAAAACTGAAGGAGCATAAATGAGAGGTATTACTCACTCTCTTGTTCCTGCAGGCTGTGAGCCAGGGTGTGGTCCTCCAGGACAGCAAAATCTCTGCATACTACAGAAGAGGAAGGAGGAAAAACAGGCAGGAAGGCTCGTTAGTAATACTTTAAACACACAAAGGAAACCATTTTTTTTTTAACTTAAAAGAAAAAACAATTATAATACTTCAGGATGACAAACTTTCTAATTCCCAATACATAAAATAGTGACTAGTTAAGTCTGCAGTCTTTAGTCACAAAAATCCATAGTGCCTGCTTAGTGCCAAGCACAGGATGTCACAAAACACTGTTTAGCCTTGGCCCCTGGCCTGAGGTGAGAACATTTACTGAATCAGATTCCAGAGGTCTAGAAATTCCAATCCACTTCTATAAAAGGAGAGTAAGTACTGCTGAAATAACAGAAGTATCAGTCATGCTTTGCATATTGCTACTGAGAGAGAGCTGAGATAATGTATAGTCAGAGGTGTTAAATCTAACCTATGCTTCTCTGTGGTTCAGACGATCCTCTCTCAGCAATTTATTTCTACCCTGGTGTCTTTTAAGGAAAAATATACTTTCACTAGTCCCTTAGGTAGGGGCAGATTTCTACTTAAAAAATTCTTAATTTCTTAAACATTCTTTGGTGGGTTAGTCCCCAGGTACCTGAGTTAGAAGGAGGTCTCTAAGTCCCTCTAAACCTTGCGCTGCCCCAAAATAATCTACAAACCAAATGAAAAGAGGAACCCTGAAAGAAACCGGGAATCTGCCTCAACTCTGCCTCAACTTGAAGATCCAGGCAAGAGTTATTTCCTGACCTGTTTTCTTAGAAGCAAAATGGGAACAAATAGTCTCAAAGGTCCATGTTTACCCCAAACTGCTATTTAAACTCCTCCTTCTTAAACATACAAACAAACAAAACATGCAGGATTCATCATGCAAAGTTCTGTTTTAAGGATGTGTAGTTTAGGTGATATGTTCCCACTCTATTCCAACCATGTAATTCATGTTTTAAAAAAAAAAAAAAAAAACTTCCCCAAAGCCTCAGAGTACTGCAATTGAGTAGGACTCAAGAAAAATTCCCTAGGGCTTAGGAAAAGTTAGATTTCTCTCTGCAGCTTTGGATTTGCCTACGAGGACACTTAACTGAAACAGAATGAAAAACATTCCTTTGCCATTCTTCTTGTACTTACGTATGCTCACATATACACTCAACATACTTGTGTCCTTCACTACTGAGGGATAATGCCATAAAAAGGTAGGGAGATCTTGGGGATGTCAAGTTTATTCTGAAATGGTTTTATACTGAAGGAATGACTAATTATTGCCCAAGTACTACATTAAACTGAATACAACCTGCTTAACCCTTGCTCAAACATAACAGCAAAACCAGTAATTCCAACAGAAAGCACTGTTCTTTTTCATCAGCTATATTCTCAACAAATTCTAATATCTTGAGACCCAGGTCCCAGTTATATTTTATCTCACAAAATAAAAGTACTTTCAAGATGAGCTAGATAACACCCTCATTTAATAAGTGAGGAAACTGAAAGACAGAAAAAAGGAAGGATTTTCTAAGGCTATATAGAGTTCACTGGTGACAGGGCTTGGGAGTCAATGTCTAAGCCAGCAAGAGCTCTTTCCCCTTCCCTGACACAATGACGGCCCTCCCTACCTCCAGGTAAACCATGGTCAAAATGAACAGAAAGAAAATATTCTGTATTAACCAACATATACTCTCTCAAACACTTCAATTAATATCTAATTTTTAAATGGGTAAGACATACATGGACTTAATTTATAAAAAAAAATCAGAATGACTTAGCTAAAATAAATATCAAATCTTGTATAAAGAATGTTATTTTAATATATTTATTTCATTTAAAACACCTTTATTATACTGGAAACGCTTGGGCTTATATATTACAGTCAGTCTTAATTTTAGATTAATTATGATTAGATCAAATTTTAAGATTAATCTTAATGACTTTCAAATTATGGGTGGCAACCTATTTGGTCAAATAATCAATTTACTAAACCTGAGCAAAGCATTTTAAAAGTAAATATTTAGTCTAGAGAATAACAGAGGACAGTTGACCCTCACAGCCCTGAGTTCTGGATTCATAGATTCAATCAACCACAGATCAAAAATATTCAGGAAAAAAAAAAATTTTTATCATCATTCCCTAAAGAAAACAGAGTACAATAGCATTTACACTGCATTAGATACAGTAAGTAATCTAGATACAATGTAAACTATACAGCAGGATGTGCATGAATTACATGCAAATACTACCCCATTTTTTATCAGGGACTGAAGCATCCATAGATTTTAGTATCCATGTGAGGTATTGGAACCATCCCCCACCCCACCCTACCAATACCGAGGGACTAATGCAACTCACACACAGTACAGGAACCTAGTTTAGGGAAACTTTTCCAGTATTTATACACACACATACACACACAGAAATATACACATACAGAGATGACAGGTGACAGGTACTAGGTCAAAATGTAAAACACATATCATTCTATAGATTACAAAAGTTTAAAACCCACTTCAATTTATGTTGCTAGGTCAGAATGCTATGGCAAAAATATATTTTCTATGTTTCTAATATCATGCTAACTAAAGTTAAAAATTATAAAATTATTACATTTTTCCATGGGGAGAATAATATGAAGAACTATAGTAATTTTTGAAATATTTCTTAAGTCAGCAGAACATTAAAAATTAAAATACATTGTGTGTGGAGAGATACTATAGTAAAAATTTTTTAATACATGGCACTGACACAAACTTAATTCTGAACAGTAGTTCTCTCTACAGAGAGATGAAGAGGGGCATGAGTGCCTTGGCTGCATGTGCTCTTCTACTGCTTCAAAAGTAAAAAAAGAAAAGACAGACAAGGCAAAATATTAACAGCTATTTGATGTGAGTGGTAGGTTCATGGGTTTCTCTATTTCCTGTGCTTTTTAAATGTCTTAAATATTACATTTTCAGTTCTATAATTAAATTCACTTATTTCACTTTGTCAACAGCATATATTGCTAAACCATGAACATGAAGATATGGTATGACACATTATAATAGGTATGAGAAATTTATGAATTACTGATTACCTTAATGACTCCTCATAATGATTTCTTAATATCTAAACAGCAAGACTGAAGTATATCCTATTATTGTGATTTGTCCCTGAATCTGCAGAAGCTGAATTACTAACCAAAAGATATCAGCAGGGCCTGAGCTAGAAGAGGATCTGGAAGATTTTCAATGATTATGAGGAAGTACACAAACACATACACACAGGGACTTAAATACACTAACCCCTTCAGAGTTTACTAGGAATTTCCGAACATATAATCTCATTTATACTGAAATATTATTTGCCCAGTCTATAATTTCTTTTGAATCCACTCTAATTTTTTGTCAAGATTTGCTTCTGTATTTCCTGCATCAGTATTCTAGTACAACCTGGAAAATAATCACATATCCAGTCAACTTTGTAAATCAGTAACCAGATTGAGAATTACAGAAAGTATTATTCACAGCCAGGTCAAGCACAGAGCCTGAATAGAACTTTTCCCCTTTTCTAACCTCCTTTACTTTCATGTAAACAGCATGAACAGTCCAAGTATATATAAAGGGTACATACTTGTCTCACCACCTTTCCCTGTGGGCACATTTAAGGTGAAGCACTTTTCACCCTCCCATTTCTGAACCGTTTTCCCTCCCATGTTCACTTTCACTCATCCAGAACTCAGGCTGACCTTCTTGCCGTAAGCCAACCCTATCAATGACTTCTACTATTCCCAGTCTGCTATTAAAAATGAGCTTCCCACCATAGTCAATTACACAACTATTCTCCTTTGTTCCCACCCAGATCTCAATGGTCCTGTTCCCTCTCCCCTCTGCCCAGACAGTTTCCCAGTGCTAGGGATGGTGGCTAAGTTTCTTTTGAACACTAAAAACCGTGCAACTCTGCCTCATTGCTTAGAAGAGAATTAACAGAAAGAAATACACTTTGCCCTGAAATTCGAGCACACAGCTGCTTCCCTATCCAGCTGGAAGCTCTTCATGGCAGGGACTTTGTGGGTGTACTCTCTGCACCTTCCACAGGACTAACAGGTGCTCACTAACTCAAAGTAGTTTAAAAAAAAAAAAAAAAAGCTGGACCGTAAAGTCAAACAACAGAAGGAGAAAAAAAGAAAATAATGCCATAAACAGAATTAAACTCTGCTACTATGACAGCACAACATACTTATAAGATATGTCAAACATCATTTAAACAAATTTAGTAACAAACAAATTAACATAAAACTAGAATCCTCTCCCTATTCTCATTAAAGGAGTTTCAATGATACGTTAATTTAAATACAGGCGTACCTTAGAGATATTGCAGGTTTGGTTCCAGACCACCGCAATAAAGCAAATATCAATTTTTTGGCTTCCCAGTACATATAAAAGTTATGTTTACACTATAATCTATTAATATTCTATTGATAGTCTATTAAATTTACAATGGAATTCAGTCTAAAAAGGCTATGTACACACCTACATTTAAAAATAATTACTAAAAAATACTTGCTACACACATTCAATTTGTAAAAAATATAGTTTGTCCAAAGCGCAATAAAGCAAAGTGCAATAAAATGAGGTATGCCTGTATATACAAATTAGTATACAGTGAATTAATTTACAATAGGCCAAGTAGGTTTTAGAAATGGAAAGGAAGACTGGCTGACATACATAAATACATACATATATATACCCCCCCATCCATTTCCTTGAAGAATGATTTTCATTGAGTTGTTGATCCCCTCTAAATACATGAATGGCACAGTATGCAACTAACACTCATTTATTCAATAAATACATGTTGAGCTCTATTTCAGGATGAATGAGTCATTTCCAAGCCATCAGTGAGGTGCAGTATCAGAGAGGAAAACAGGTATAAGTTAATTAACATTGTACTAAAGAGACAATTGGTTGTACTAAATAAAATTCTTTGCAGTCATAAACATTGGAACAGTTAGGCTTGTTATGAGTTGGGGGTGGACTAAGAAGTGGAAG